AACCGTGAAAAATCCTATGCTTTTCAAATCTTCGCTTAGTGCATGTTTACAATTTAAGAAGATAAAACACATTTGTTTAGTGTAATTGGTTGTGATTATGGTTTTTGTTTGAAGAGACCATAGTTCAAATCTTGATATTGATACTTTTTCATATGAAGTAGATAATAATTGTGATGACAAATGTACTCTTCCTACTTTCACTCTCGCTTCACGAAATTTGAAATAGAAAATCTTAAAACATTGAATATATCTTATAAAAAGAGCTTCTTCAACCAAGTAGGGAAATGTATTTTACCCAAAATTATTATATCTTATAGAAAGTGATTAATTGTGAAATCGGAACTCAAATAACATTGATTCAAACATTAAATAATAAATTGTATGTGTGATTCAATTTAGACAAAATACATATGTGTAGCCAAAATATGGATCTTTGTGACAAATATAGTAAAAAAAATTTATCACAAATCTACACATAATATATAGATAAATTAGGCATTATGACGAAAAAGAGTTTCATAGGATCACTCTCAAGCCACGAAGTTTAAAATGAGACTCTCATTTTTCAATTTTATCATTATATTATGTGTAGATTTGGGGATTAGATAGCGTCACAACCCTCATAGGGGTTGTGATTTTCACTTCCTCTTTCGCAACCATTAGATCCACCTTCTCTCTTGCTTTTTCAAATTAATGGTTTAGATTAAATAAAGGGTATTTTTGGAAGAGAAAAACTTACCACACAGGATCCTTTCTCATTTTCTATATAATCTGATTTCCAAAAAAAAAAAAACTCTTCCTCTCTCCCCTCTCTCTTCCCTCTCCCGAGAACCCTAACTGCTCTGTCTCTCCCTCCCGTTGTCGGCGCCGCCGCTGCCGCCGCCCCCTCCCGTCGCCACTGTCGTCGTCTTTCCCTCCCGTCGCCACCGCCGCCATCTCTCCCTCCCGCCGCAGCCGTCGCGTCCTCCGCCTCCCACCATCGCATCCCTCTCTCCTCCCTCCAACTCTTGTCACCGCCATCTCTCTCCCGCCGTCCTCCTCTGCCGCCGCCGCGAGGTAACGACCTCTCCCCTTCCTTCTCCTTTCCTCATTCCTTAATTTTTTTCCTGATCTGAGATTTTTCAGATTCCAGATCTTGTTTTTTTTATGTTTTTTGCAGTGGTACTGATTTCTGTCTAGTGGTACGTTACCAGTGGTAGTGGTAACGTACCAGTACTCAGTGGTAGCGGTACCAGTGAGTAGTGGTACTGATTTCTGTCTAGTGGTACGCTACCAGTGGTAGTGGTATCGTACCACTATTCACTGGTAGCGGTACCAGTGGTAGTGGTAGCGTACCACTACTCACTGGTAGCGGTACGAGTGGTATTTGTAGCGTACCACTACCACTAGTACGTACCACTACTACTGGTAGCGTACCACTAGATGAAAATCAGTACCACTAGCACACTGACGGAGTTGTTTTTTTGCAGTTGGCCGGAGCGAGTCTGATTGGAGGATTTCACCGGAAAAATTCGTCGGCCAGAAAAACTTTGGCGGTCGGAGTGAAGAGGTTGCTGGAAAAGAGAGAGAGAGAGAGACATAAGCGTATTAATTGTAGGATTTAAATTAAAAAAGTATTTAATTTGGGTTTTTAATTCCCAATCTGTAATTAATACAAAAATAAATAAATAATAAATTCTGTTTTTTTTCATACCCAAATTGCCCTTGGATGTGAATCTCACATCCCTCTTAGGGGATGTGACGGTAACTCATCCCGTAGATTTGTCATAAAAAATGATTATACTCGTCAGTCGTCACAAAGGTCCATGTTTTGGTTAAACTTCTGTATTTTGTCTAAACTAAACAATATATACAATTTAATATTAATGTTTGAATCAATCCTACTTGAGTTTCGATATCAGAACTAATCTCTTTCTATAATATATAAATAAATCAAAATGAAATATAAATATAGAAGTATCAGCACCAAACATATTCCTATAGTTTAATCAAAGAATTAACAATAAATAAAATGTAGCCTTGTTGGTTAAAATATTTTTTCTTCATTTAACTGACCGAAAATCACTTTCAAACCAGAAATTTTGAAATAGGAAAATTTCAATCCATATTTTGTCTTTATATATTTTGTAAAAGCGTGGGTCATCTAACAATATTTACATTATTTGCTGAAATTTTCCCCCTTTTTCTCTCCCCTTTTCCTACGGTGGAAGGGAGATAGAAAGAGGGAGAGAGAGGAAAGGAAACCTGTCTGTGTGGGCTCTAGCTGGGGAGTAAGCTAACACGGTTTGCCAGAGCAGAAATCGCCCTTCCTCTCCCATTATATACCTCCGCATGCCTTTTCTCTCCTTCTTCTTTCTTTCTCTCTATCTGCAAGTGGCTAACACATACGCAAAAAGGGTTAAAAATTAATTCACTACTGGATTCTTCCTCCATCATCTTCTTCTTCTTTGCTGGGTAACTCGGTAGATTCATTCAAGCTCCCCCGCTTTGACGGGAGCAGACGATCTGGTGAGTAACCTTGTGGTGCTATAATCTCATGCATAACCCAATAAGAATCCGTCACATCAGCGCCTCCTTCTCTCTCCTCGAAAAACTTTTAATTTTCCTTCTCTTAATTTTTAACGGATGATTTCTCACTCGTTTTAACTCGGAATTTAATTTTTTTTATACAGTTAGATCAGATTAATTGTGCTCTTCTAAATGATATCCACTTTGATATTTTTTGGAACAAAAGAATTTGCCAGTTATTACCATTCTATACCATATGGTATTGACTGTACCATATTGTATTGACTAGTATTAAATAACAGCATACCATATAGTATGAAAATACCACCCCATACCAGGGTGGTATAGTATGGTATGGAGTTGGTAACGAGAGGTATGAATTTTTTTACTGAGAAAAATTTGAAATCCAATAGATCATGATTAAATCGTTCCTTCTGTGCAAAAATTTTCGAAAACGACTAAAAAATGGAGATACCATATGGTATGGAGTTGGTAACTAGAGGTAGGGCTACAAATGAGCCGAGCTACTTGCGAGCAACTCGAGGCTCGAATCGGGAAAAACTCGTTCGAAACTCGACTCGTTTACTAACGAGCCAAGATTGAGCTTCGCTTTGTTCAGCTCGCGAAGCTCGCAAGCTAGCTTGACTTGGTGGCTTGTTGAGCTCAACTGGTGAGTTGGCTCATTTAGAGCTCATGAGATGTCTCAACATTGTGGTTTGAGTGCCAACTTGATCACTGACTTATGGACGAATCGATCTAATTTGGACTTTCATAATTCATAGGATTGTTAAATTATATATCTCACATCATGTGAAGTTTAACATGTTGAACATGTAAGAAAATATGTCTTATTTTTAATTCTATAAAGAAATTATTTACAAAATTGTTTCGATACTATGAAATAACATGATTTGAACTAGTTAAAATTTATTAACTAAACAATATGACACCTACAAATTATAATATAAGATTAATTAATGTTGAACATTTGATTATCTTTTTATCGTTACATCAATCACATGTACCATACACAACATACAAAATGAATGTATCAAATACGATCTCAGAATTTAGTAAACAAGCTTAGCTCGAACTCGACTCGATTCGGCTCGTTAATAGATGGCTCGAGCTCAAGCTCGGCTCATTTGTTAACGAGTCGAGCTCAAGCTGGGGTAAAACTCGGCCTAGCTCGGCTCATTTGCAGCCCTAACGAGAGGTATGAAATTTTTTTTCTCAAAAAATATTGAAAATGAATATCATTTTGTAGAGCACAACAAACTCGTTCCATCTATGAAAAAATTGAAATCCGAGTTAAAATGAAGAAGATATGATCCAATTAAAAAAAATAGAAAAAATGATTTTTTTTAATTCTTCGCCCTTAAATCTACAGCCACTTAAAAAAAATCAAATTTTGATTACTTGATTACTTATAGTTATGCACCCTATCTTTGAGCCCACTTTGACCATTCCTTTGAGGCACGTTTCCCCTCTCTCTCCCTATTTTTGGTTGCTCAAACAAAGCTCTTCATCTAAGTCGAAAGCAAGTCCAGGGATAGGGCTGCAAATGAGCCGAGTCGAGTCGAGTTTTACCCCAGTTTGAGCTCGGCTTGTTAATAAACGAGTCGAGTTCGAGCTCAACTTGTTTATTAACGAGCCGAGTTGAGTCGAGTTCGAGCTAGCTTGTTTATTAAAATCTTAACTTTTATTTGGTACTTCATTTTGTATATCATGATACATATGATTTATTTTGTTAGTTAATCTCATCTTATACTTTATACTTTGTTAGTATCATATATCGTTTAGTTATTAAATTTTAACTACTCCAAATCATGTTATTTCATTGTATGAAGCAATTTATGATGCATAATTTCTTTTTAAAGTAGAAAATAAGATATATTTGCTCACATACTCAACGTGCAAAACTTTATATATAGTGAGATATATAAATTAACAACCATATGAATTAAAATCATAAGATATAGATTGATTCGTCCATAAGTTGGTAATCAAGTTGGCTCTCTAGCCACATGTTAAGACATATCATGAGCTCTAAACGAGTCAGCTCACGAGTTTAGCTCAACAAGCCACCGAGTCGAGCTAGCTTGCGAGCTTCACGAGCTGAACAAAGGTGAGCTCGTGTTAAACGAGCCGAATTTCGAACGAGCTTTTCTCGAGTCGAACGCCGAACCGCTCACGAGCAGCTCGACTCATTTGCAGCACTATCCGGGATCAAATGGGCGTGCATGCATTACAGTTGCACCACCATCTCAACTGTTCCCCTTATTACTTCCGCACACCACTGTCACTCTCCCTTAAAAAAACAAACACAAAAGAAGACCACCCGTCACTGCTACTTAAGTTCCTTCTTCTCTGCAACTCCCCGCGTCACTGTCATCGTCTCCATGTCGCGCTAACCAAATCCCTGATGGGAAGCTTTTACACATAACTCATTCTGATTCTGAGCTGAGCTGAGGTAATAATAATAACATCAACCCTCTCTCCCTCTCCTCCGTGTGTGTGCTTCTTTCTCTTTTGTCTGTTTGCTAGTACCAATCCAATTTTTTTTTTTTTTCAAAGTATAAGAGCGGAGAGGAAAGTGTTCCTGCGTCATTTGTTTCTTTGGAGTTTTGATCGGCAGTGTGGTAAAGTCGAAAATAGCAGCAGCAGGACTACCGCAAAAACTGCCCAATCCTTGAATAAAGTTGGAACAGCACCCGCAGCTGGAAAGAAAGAAAGAAAGAGAAGAAATGGCACCAGCACCCGCAAGTAACTGGCTCTCATTCTCTCTCTCCCCCATGGAGATGCTGAGGTCATCTTCTTCTTCTTCCTCCTCCACCGCCGCCCCTCACTACTTCCTCGACACCTACTACTCTCACGGTACTAGTATTTTCTTTTTCATTTCCTTCCACCAGCGTAACTTCTGTTCGATTCTCGGGAAAATCAGGCAATTAAGTTGATTAACGTTTTTTGAATTTCTATTGGGTAAAAAGGTTGGGGAAGTTCCAAGGAAGCACAAACAGCGACGACGACTATGGCGGAAACCGCGCTACTTACCAGCTTCATGGAGCAGCAGCAATCAGGCCACCATCACCACCAACCTAAGCTGGAGGACTTCCTAGGCGGCGATTCGTCGGGGTCGGTGGTTCGGTACTCGGAGCACAGCCAAACAGAGACTCAGGACTCTTCTTCCTTGACTCACATCTACGACAGCGGCGGTGGAGGCGGAGGCGCCGCCTCCTATTTCAGCGAACACCAGGCGATTCCCGCAGGCTACCAAGGCGCCTTCCCCTCCAACTCCGGCGGATCCGAAGTTGACGACCAGATTGGTTGCGGTGGCGGTGGCGGTGGGGCTGAGTTTATGGCGGCGGACGGTGGCCATCACTCGATTGAGTCGGCGGGCAGCGAGTTGGGGTTCTCGAGTCGTAGCAGCGGGTTGTCCCTTGCGGTTACCACCAATAATAACAACAATAGCGTACCGATTAGCTCTTCTCCGCCTCCCGCCGTAGCGGCGGTCGCCGTTGTTGAAACCGATTGCTCTAAGAAGCTCGCCGATACCTTCGGCCAGCGGACTTCCATTTACCGAGGCGTCACAAGGTTAGTCAGTCAGTCAGTAGTCTTCCCCTCTTCTTCTTCCCCATTCTATTATTGAAATTTGAATTTGTTAGTTGCCTTGAGTGATTAATTAATTAAGTAATTAAATTAATCAGTTTAATTAAGGCACATTTCTCGTGTTCAATGGACGAAGGACCTTTTGCATAGTTAATAATAAGTAACTGGAGTTGTTTTTTTTTTTTTTGGATTGGTTTGTTTGATTGTCAATGGTGGTGCAGGCATAGATGGACAGGTAGATATGAAGCGCATCTATGGGATAACAGCTGTAGGAGAGAAGGTCAAGCCAGAAAAGGACGTCAAGGTCTCTCTCTCTCTCTCTCTCTCTCTCTCTCTCTCTCTCTCTCTCTCGTCCTGCTTTGCATTCCTGATTTCCGAGGGGCGGGTCTGTGTGTGCGCGCGGACACCTCTGATTTCATGTGGGTAATATATATGTTTGTTGGTGTGGTATAGAGGTGTAAAATACAAGAGATTGTTGCATGAACTCTTGCTGTGGCTCTGGCATTTAATTGGATTCAGCCTTTTCTTTTATGATGATTGATGCCTACCAGTTTGATGTGGACAAGTAAAAATATGTCATTTTTCCTTTTGTACATATTGCTGCTTTCTTTCTTCTCTGGGTGGGATTTCTGGGGCTACTTGATGATTCTTCTTCTTCTTCATTCATATATACACTGGCATCCATTTTTTTCGGCTGATTGATTTGATAAGATGGGCCGCCATTTTGTTACAATTTTCTTCCTTTTGTGTTCTTTCTGATAACATCACACCTGGTGCTGGGTCCCCCTCAACATTTTCTTCCATGCCCGTCTCCCTCCAATCCAGTCTACCACCACACTCTCACCATGCCTTCTCCCACTGGCCCTCTGCAGACGTTTCTGTTCATTACCCACATCTCTCTTTGGCTTTTAAGAACAGGCAGGGTTTACAGTCCAGACTAAGATTTCCATGCAATTTGAAGTTTGAACCCAACATCTCAATGGTTTATTATTTTATTTAAATGAAGGAAAGTTTTTTTTTTTTTTTTGTTGTTGCTTTTACTCTTTGTTTTCCCTCTCTTTTCCCTTTCAGCCAAAAGGGTTGTTTAGGTTTGACCAAACCACGTACTACTGTTTCCATTTTCCAAGTTCCTCTCCTTCCTTCGTCCTTTTCCCCGCCTTTTCTCTTTGCTGTTCCTTTTGAAAAATGTTTGTGCAGAGACAGTAATGTGACATCGTGCCTTCCTTTCTTGCGCCTCCTTCCAACATTATTCCCGTAACTTGCTGACAATGGCTTGCCATCCTAGTAACTGCGGCCCGCCCCATAAAATGCTGATCCTTTCACAAATGAGGAAATGCCCCCTTCTTATTAAACAACACAGTGGATGCTCTCTTTACTGTGCAAACTGTGTATCTACTGATTGAGATTCCTCATAACAAAAGGATAGCAGCTTATTCGAGATTTTTCCAGAAATAGCACTGTTTAAAAAAAAAATTCCAAAAATAGCACCCAACTCCGAAAAATTCCAAAAATAGCACCATTTTTTTTAAACCGCCACCCGGAAGTGCGTTTTTCGATGAAAACGCCACCCGAGGGCGCGTTTTTCGATGAAAACCGCACTGGTAGGGAGCGGCCCCCAGGGTGCGATCTGGTTTTTTTTTTTTTTTTTTTTTTGCAAACAGCACCCCCAGGGTGCGATTTGCTTTTTTTTTTTTTTTTTTTTGAAAAATCCTAACTTAGGTGGAAACTTCAAACGAACGTATCTTTATGTTCGGGTATCCGATCGTCGCGATTTTTTTTTTTTGATTCCGCATAATTTTTCGAGATCTTGCAAGCCGCAAACTCCCGTCCCGCCTTCGTCCCGAAAAAATGTCGTTTGCTACCCCGAACGAGCATTTTTTCGATTTCGTCAAACTTTGAACGACCATAACTTTGTGCTCCACAATCCGAAAATCATGATTTTTTTTTTATTTTGCATAACTTTTTGAGGACTAAAATTTTTATCATAGACATAATTTCGGAATGTACTTGGATTCCTAAAAAGAAGCGTACGTAAACTTATTCCCAAAACCCCGTATATCCAAAATAATTCATTTTTTGAAAATTCTCTCCTAGAAAAAATTGTAGTCCTCAAAAAGTTATGCAAAATCAAAAAAAAGTTCATGATTTTCGGATTGTGGAGCACAAAGTTATGGTCGTTCAAAGTTTGACGAAATCGAAAAAAGGCTCGTTCGGGGTAGCAAACGACGTTTTTTCGGGACGAAGGCGGGACCAATCCGCCCTCGGCGTTTGCGGCTTGCAAGATCTCGAAAAATTATGCGGAATCAAAAAAAAAATCGCGACGATCGGATACCCGAACATAAAGATACGTTCGTTTGAAGTTTCCACCTAATTTAGGATTTTTCAAAAAAAAAAAAAAAAAAAACAGATCGCACCCTGGGGGTGCGGTTTGCAAAAAAAAAAAAAAAGGCAGATCGCACCCTGGGGGTGCGGTTTGCAAAACCGCTCCCTACCAGTGCGGTTTTCATCGAAAAACGCGCACTCGGGTGGCGTTTTCATCGAAAAACGCACCTCCGGGTTGCGGTTTTACAAAAATGGTGCTATTTTTGGAATTTTTCGGAGTTGAGTGCTATTTTTGGAATTTTTTTTTTTAAACAGTGCTATTTCTGGAAAAATCTCAGCTTATTGCACTATGGCCTGCCCAATTTGTGCGACTCACATGCTGTATCTCTTATTCCTTTGGAGTGACATTATTGGATGCTGTTTTTCTTGGATCTTTTTTGACCATCTATATCGGATTCTTACATTGGAATGGTTGTTTTCTTGCTGGCATGGGGAAATTCTGGATGGCCACATTTTGGGTTGCCTCTCTCTCCTGCAGTGTACTTAGGTAAAGCTGACTGAACTCTGCTACCCCCTCCCTCCCCTGCTGGTTTCATTTATATCCAACTTTCTTGGTTATCGACTGTCTGGAATGGGTTTTTTTTTTACTATTGTGTACTGAAAAGTGAAAACCCCCATTATTGGGTTTCAGGTGGATATGATAAAGAAGATAAAGCAGCTAGAGCTTATGATTTGGCTGCTCTTAAGTACTGGGGACCCACCGCCACGACCAACTTTCCTGTAACTAATCTCCCCTCCTGCTTCTGTTCTTCCAGGATCGATATTTCACTGTCGTTGCTTAGATATCGTCTTTGTTTACTGATCATTTTGTGGCGGCTTGTATGGTGTTGCAGGTGTCTAATTATAACAAGGAACTGGAAGAGATGAAATATGCATCGAAACAGGAGTTTATCGCCTCGTTGAGAAGGTATGCTATACATAATCCTCCAGACTCTGAACAGGTTATGTTTGTTTCCCACTTCAATTAGCATGAAATGTAACAGTCTAATCATCTAATTTATGTAGGAAAAGTAGTGGATTCTCCAGGGGTGCTTCCATATACAGGGGTGTAACAAGGTTAGCGTTCCTGTCGATTTTGATCTCCAATTACATATCATATGATGATTATGTTGTCTGATTACTTGTGGTCCAACACTTGTAACTGCAGGCATCACCAGCAAGGTCGTTGGCAAGCAAGGATTGGGCGTGTTGCTGGGAACAAAGACCTGTACCTTGGCACATTCGGTAAGCACATGCATGTTCCTTTTGTGCTTTGATAAGTTTCCTGGCAAAATATGGAAGCCACTTGAATCGGGGAGACATACTTCTAACCTTTACAAAATAACATGGGGCAGCCACTGAAGAGGAAGCAGCAGAGGCATATGACATTGCAGCCATAAAGTTCAGGGGCTTGAATGCAGTGACGAACTTCGAGATGAATCGATATGACGTGGAAGCGATCATGAAGAGTGCTCTTCCCATCGGTGGAGCAGCAAAGCGGCTAAAAATCTCTCTGAATGCTGAGCAGAAACCAATTCTGATGAGCCAAGATCAACAACTACAACTGCAGCAGCAACAGTGCAGCAGCAATGGGAATAGCATCAGTTTTGGATCGGTTCAGCAACCCCTTTCGACAATCCCTTGTGGCATCCCCTTTGACGCCACGACTGCCTACTACCAGCATCATCACAACCTCTTCCAGCACATTTCAGCCGGTGGTGGTGGCAGCAGCCACCTGGGTGGAGGAGACTCCTCTGGTTCGGCCCAGAACATGGAGAATTCGATGAGCTCGATGTTGCCACAGACAACAGACTTTTTCCTGTGGCCTCACCAGCCTTACTAATTTGTTAGAGAAAAGAGAGGTTTTGCTGACTTGGGAACCAGCTAACAGTAGTAAGCTTACAAACAGGTAGGTTTCGATTGAATCATGGCAGTATTAGGAGCAGAAAAATGCGGTTGTTGTAGTAGGTTCAAGTTCGTTTTTGTTCTCTTGTTCATTTGAGTAGTTTAGGAAGCCATGTTCAGTAAGCAGTGGTGGTGGTGGGAATTTTGTAAGTAGTATCATGTAGTTGAATGATGGGTTTCTCGGGCAATGGTATCCTCCCCAAAAAATTTGCGGATTTTGTTTATTTCTTCAATCAGTGTCTTGAATATTCCTTCTGGTTTCAATTCCATGGCCTTTTTTACTTTGCTCATTGCAATTATTATGCTGTGTTCTCAAGTTTCAAGACGGGGTGTGGAGACTTGGTCAATGAGCAGCAGCTGCAGCAGAGTATATATCAGGTGAGAAATGGAGGATTGGTGGTAGAAATTATTGTTTGCGGTATTCGATGAGAACTTGATGTGTTCCTCTCCTCTCGTTACGGGCTGCCTGTGCTGTAAGTAGTGGAAGGAATGAATATGAATTGAAAAGGAGGAGGACTGGAGGAGGTTGATTGATTATTGCATCAGTTCGCATGAATGGTTGGTCACCTGAGTTCTCTTCATGTCTTCGGAATCCATGATTTTCGAGATTAGTGCCAATAAAATCCAAGCATTCTGAAATCCCAATGAATTGGTGATTGTGTATTTAATACATCTGCCCACGAGGCACTAACCGCCAATTAGTCATTAACCAGAATGAACTTGCTAAAAACAAACTTGAGCAATACTGCAATAGGGTGTTTTACCTGAACGTGAGCACGAAATCATCAATCAATTAATTAAAAGCACAAGTGTAAAAACTAGGGGTGGCTATACGGTCCGGTCCGGTTTTATTGGACCAAATTGATCCGATCTCAGTTCGGTCTTTTCGGGAATATAAGAACCAAAGATTGGATTGGATCCAGTCCGGTCTTGACCCAGTCCGGTCCCAATTTGATCTTGATTTTAGGTGTTGGGGTCTCTTATCCGGGTTTTTTTTACCTCAAATCTAAGCCCGAATATGAGATTGGATTGTTTGTTATACGGTCCCAGTCCAGTCCCGGTCCGAATTATACGATCTGATTTCGAGTAAAACCAAACAGTTCAAACCAAATAGCCAGCCCTAGTAAAAACACGGTTGCATACGAGAAAAAACAGCAAGGCAATCCACCCTCGTAGACACTGTTCATTGTATCAATTAATTAATTATTATCTTATAACAACATTAAATAAGAATCACTCGCGAAACAACTCCATCCTCACAAAAAATAATATTGTATCAATTAATTAATTACCCTTTCTAATGCAAATAGAGATTTTACATCATATACCCAATTTTATCATAAGTCTTTTTTCCTCACATAACAAGATACATATGTACTTTTTTTCGTAACATAATATCATTATTAGATCACACGTTACTAAAAAATTATTATTTCTTTCTCTTTTCGCAATCAAATTTTATTATTAGATGACATATTACTGAGCATTACATAACAAATTTTAATAAGAATCACATGAATTACAAATACATTATATAAAGGTTAAGAATGGATACTTAAAAATCACGTAGATGCCAGTTAAATTTTACATTATGCAAAGGTTTTGTAAAGCCGGCTAACTTTTACTTTTTTTTTTCTTTTCTCTTTTTATGGAAACCTGTAATCTCATTGATCAAAACTCAGCTGCTACATCATCAAGCTTCAATTGATCAAGCAAGCAAACTGGTGGTTCATCGAGCCACACCATTCTTTCGTCCAGTCTTGTATAATTCCTAGTGATCATGTGAGCGGCACCATTAGCTTCGCGGGGAATGTGTCGCCAGTTGGCCCCATCGTTGCGACCCAAACTCCGTTTGATGCTGCGGCAAATCACCCCTATATCTGACTGATCCTCCTGGGCGCAATTTAGCTTGCTTATGACCTGCATGCTGTCACTTTCAAGAAGAATTTTTGTGCAGGCAAAGAACTCAACTGTGCTCCCATTTCAACCGCCAGGGCCTCCGCCATCTCCACACTCCATCCTCCAGTTACCCTCTTAGCTGCAGCTAGCCTAAACTTCCCATTACTGTCCCGCGCCACCACTCCCAATCCGATCCCACCATCGACGAAGGTAGCTGCATCCGACGTGATTGAGATCCATCCTGGTTCCGACCGATGTCACACACTTTATAACCATTGAAATCCAGTGCTCCGCGAACCCCATCCGCCGCATCACACCTTCAAGAAAATGCCACTCAACTCTATCGTATGCTTTCACCATATCTATCTTTGCTGCCAGGACCCCCTCCTTACTCTTCGACTTCTTTTTCATTGAATGGAAACATTCAAAGGCTGCCATCACATTACTTAATAAGACATTACGTAAAAATTATGAAAGAATGATTATTTATGTATCAATTAATTAAAAGCACAAGTGTAAAAACACTGTTGCATACGAAAAAATCGCAAGACAACTCACCCTCACAAACATTGTTTGTTGTATCAATTAATTAATTATCTTATAACAACATTCAATAAGAATCGAATGTGGCGGAGTTAACTCGGGTATTACTTCTTGCCTGTCAAGTTCCGGCTCGTTTTTGGCCTGAGGTTATGGCGATAACTGTCAGGTTGATTAATTATCAAATTACTCATGTACTTGACCAGTCCAGCCTGCATTTCATGCTATTTCAAAAGCATCCAGATTATTCTCAGCTTCGGGTGTTTGGGTGTATGTGCTTTGTTTTGTTGCCTCGGAAGGAACATACTAAGTTGTCGTCTAAAACAGTCCGGTGCATTTTTCTTGTCTACAACGATATTCACAAGGGGTACCTTTGTTATGATTCGTATTCTCAGTGACTTCGCATCTCGTGTGATGTAGTCTTCTTCGAAAGGCTCATTATTCCTCTGCCGAGACTCAGTCTCCCTCTGGTTGGATCTCTGCGCCTGTTCATTTGCCTTCTTTCCCCGATGATACTAATGATGACATACCCCCCCCCCCCCCCCCCCCGCGCCGATTCACCTCCCCCCGTGTCACCTCCTAGCTCCCCTACTATCTGCCTGTCTGCTTCGTCCTCCTCTAGTTCAGCTGAGTCGTCGCCTTCTCCACCACCGGTCGAGCATGTTCTTCGATGTTCCAACCGTGCCACGCAGTGCCATCTTCTTGTTAGGTATATTTATTTGTGACTTATAATATTGATGTTGTTTTTGTGCCTACTTTTTTAAGAAGGCTAAGGGTGATCCAATGTGGGAAGGTGCGATGGATCTGGAGATTGATGCTCTTCATGCTAAGGGTTCTTGGATTGTGGTTGATCATCCCGCTACACATGTTCTAGTTTTGGGTTCTTGCTGGGTGTATGTGTTGAAAATAAAGGCAGATGGAAGTATTGAGTGTCCTAAAGCTCGTGTAGTTGCTTAGGGTTTTGGTCAGGAGTATGGGCTAGATTATGAGGAGACTTTTTCCCTGGTCGCTAAAATGCAGAATGTTCGTACTCTCCTTAACAGTTGCTACCTTTCGACATTGGCCTCTATTTTAGTTGGATGTCTCCAATGCAATTCTTCGTGGTGATTTGAAGGAGGTTGTTTATAAGTGGCGCCCACCGGGTAATAAAGCCGGTCGGTCGTTGTATGGTCTCAAATATGCTCCACGAGTTTTGTTTGAGAAGTTCCCATCTACGATTGTGGGTCTTGGTTTTCAGCAGAGTCTTAATGACCCCTCTCTGTTTACTCTTCGTTCACAAGCTTTGATTATTGTTTTGCTCTTATATGTTGATGACATGATCATTACTGGAGACGACTTGTCGGGTATTCAGCGTCTCAAGCAGGGTCTGCATGCTTCATTTACTTTGAAGGAGCTTGGTGCACTGTCTTTTTTCTTGGGTCTCGAGATTACTAGGTCTCCCCGTGGTATATTGGTGAGTTAGAAGAAGTATATCTAGGAGCTCCTAACGTTTGTCACATTTGTCGATTGTGACTCGGTTTCTACCCCGATGGAAGCAAATTTGAAACTCACTAAGGAGTCTGAGGCGTTGGTTGCTATCCGCCTATCCCATCAGTATCAGCACTTGGTAGGAAGCTTGATATATTTGACCTCTACACGACCATATATATCCTATGCGGTGCAGGTAGTGAGTTAGTTTATGGCTGATCCTCGTATTGATCACTTGGTGGCAGTTCACCGTATACTACGCTACTTACAAGGTATGAGGGATGTTGGTATTTTTCTTCCGTGTACTGGTGACTTGGACCTTTCGGCATTCTCCGATTCTTATTTTGCGGGTTGTGTGGATACTCGTTGTTCGACGACGGGGTGGTGTATTCGATTTGGAGGTGTGTTTCTTAACTGGCACTGCAAAAAGTAGGATAAGGTTTTTAAATCCTCTACGAAAGCTAAATATTGGGCTATGTCGGATGTTGGTTCTGAGTTGGTATGGTTATAGAGGTTGTTGGCTGATTTGGACGTCCACTACAATTCTGCGATGGCTTTTTATGTGGACCACACGAGTGCTATTCAGATTGCAGCTAATGCTATCCTTCACGATCGTACGAAACATATCAAGATTCATGTTCACTATGCTCGGGATCTGGTTCATGATGGTGTTGTTCTCCTTCACTATATGGTTTCGGAGGACCAGCTTGTAGATTTGTTTATTAAGCCGTTCTTTCATTCTCGTCATTGGTTTCTATCTAACAAATTGATGCTACGTAGTAGTCATCAATTTGGGGGAGGCTGTTAGCGAGTTTGGGCCCTTTATGCTTGGCCAAGTTAGCTCTCGTGTATGTGTGAGTTCAGTAGAATTCTTTACTCCTCTGTGGCTGATGCTTGTAGAGTGCTAGGAGAGAAGAGAGCAATGTATATAAACTTGTAACATACTACCAGAAATACTAAGTGTGAAACCCGAATAATAGTACAGCTCGGAGAGGTCAAACTCTCCCGTGGACTAGTTTCGTTCTTGGGGAAACCGCATTAATCCGTGTGTTGCTTACTTGTTCAGTTCAGTTCAGTTCAGATTTGTTAACATGGTATCAGAGATGCCAGTTAAATTTTACATTATGCAACGGTTTTGTAAAGTCAGTTAACTTTTACTTAACGATTAAGATACTACATAAAACTTAAGAAGGGATGATTATTTATGTATCAATTAAATAAACATATTAATAAAATAGTCAACAATAATTAAGACACCACGTAAAACTTATGAAGGAATAATTCTTTCTTATATATCAATTAAACAAACATATTACGTATATATTCATTAATGATTAAAAAACTACATAAGTGAGTTTCTTATCCAAATTATTTTGATTTCAACTAAGTCATTAAAATGAATTGATAAAATGCAAAGATAAATTACTTTTATATCACGGCGAAGCGTGGGCCAAAAATCTAGTATACTTTAATTTTAGCATCGTATTCGGGTCATGAAGTGGCACGAATACGCTGATATGTGATTTGACTAATGAACTATTAACCTACTATTGGCAATGTGTATCGATGAATGAGTTACGAGAAAACGTGTTTCATGTGTACATGAAGGAAGTTGCTATCTATGTCGTGCAATTGTGAACATGCTATGCGAACATGTGTTGGTGAGTTAAAAAAAATATGATTGATATGATTGTGTATGACGTAAATGAGTTTATGTTGGGATGGATGGAAGTGATCATTGAATGATTATGATTGGGTGATGTGATTATGATGGTTGTAAACTTGTTAGAATAAGACGACGAGAGCTTGCGCAACCATATGCTCTAGTCGACGAATTGCTCGGATTATAGAACGCGGTGTGTGGGAAATGGCTTAAGCAGGAAAGTGTTGTGTCATTGTCATCTTGCATTGGATATGGAAGCATGCACAACTTGTCGTATTGAAACAGAAATATTGTTACAACAACATAGGACGAGGAAAAATAGTTTCAAATGTTAGGAGCTACAATCCGCCAAGGGAGTCGAGGGCTAGCATAAAATTGGGCTGGGACTTCAAAGCCTCGAAGTTATCCCATTTAGCATCATCCTTCAGTCCTTTCCACTAGTAACACTGGCCCAGCAAACAATACACTTGCTCCCCAACTGTGCCCAGCTGTACGGCTTCGGCCAAGTCCTCGATCGCCGAGTCGACTCGCCGCTGCTGATTCACGGTGACCTTAAGCTCTGCTCGCTCACTTGTGCATCGCCTCGCTCCTTCCTCTGAAGTGGCTTCCTGTACGGCGGAGCGCAGGTAGAATCAATTGCCTTCAATGCGGCTGCCTTGTGGCCGAGGAGATCAAGGGCGACGCCTTTTAGGACGAGCGGGGGCGGGGTCATTTGGGGAAAGGGCGGCAATTGATTCGGCCTCGGCGATGGCTTGTTTGGATAGAGACTGGGACCGAGAGCAGTTTTTGCCGGCGGCAGATCTTGGTCGGACAAGGAACTGGGAACCTTGGATGAAGTGGCAGTTGGATTGGACGGTGATGCGATTCTTGGCTCTCTTCCTCGAGAGGAATAGCATGGAGAGGTGTTGAATGGTGATGAAAACGGTGACGGTTAGTGCGATGATCGCCACTTGGAGGGTCGTTCGTCAACATATTTATGGTAGAGTCTCTAAAGAGCGGTGCAACTGTGGTAGCAGTGATAGGGTTGAGGAGAGAGGGCAGATCATGTAACTAAGGGGGTGCTTAGTTATTTGACTTAGCCCATTCTAACCCTTAGATTTGGACATTGCAATCCAATCGTTAAAAAATGAGAAGGGCTTTCTAATTACTGATAGGGGTAGTTTGGGTATTATGAAAAATTACGAAGTATACACAACATACTTACAAACAATACAAATCATACAAACAGTACAAAGTAGAATAAAAAAACATACAAATAGATTTACAAAAAATATAAAACTTACGAACTATACAAACAATACAAAGTACACCGACAAACAATACAAACCATAAAAAATGAAAAAACAATCAGGTTAACTTTGGAGGCTTCATCCCTATATACAGGGCACCGTCCCAAAGTCAACCAGTTTGTTTTTTAGACTTACTAACATGGTGGACAAAAATTACAAAGTAGATCGTCAAACCAAAAAAAATGGAAAAACAACTGGGTTGACTTTGGAGCCTTCATCTCTATATAGATGAATTCTGTCCAAAAGTCAACCAGGTTGTTTTTAGACATAAAAAACATTACAAACATGGTTGACAAAAATGACAAACATTATGGACAAAAATAACAAAGTTTACAAACATTACAAGAGAAACCAACAAACATTACAAAAATAACAAAACTTACAAACATTACATAACAAATGGACAAACAATACAAAACATACTAACAGTACAAAATGTCACTACTTACAGCACAAAACAGTAAATTTGTATTACAAATCAATGAATACAAAGTATACAGATTATAACATTAATTATACAAACTAAACAAACAAACATTATAAATTACAATATATACAAATTTATCATATAAACGTTTCGAACATAATAAATAAAAATGAAAAAGTATACAAACCAAATTGATACAAAATCACAAAATAGACTTACAAACATTATAAAATAGTCCGACAAACATAATAAAACAGATGTCGTCGCCGAAAAATCCCCATCGTCGAAAATTCTCTCCGAGCCGCCGGAAAATTCGTCGATGACGGAAAATCTCTCTCTCTCTCTCTCTCTCTCTCTCGCAAAGGGGAAGAAAGAATCACCTTGGCCGAAAGAATCCCTCTGGCCCTGGTATGCGGAATTAATGATTGACGGCGGTTCAGCGGAGAGACGGTCAGGGTAGGGAAATTCCACCGTCGGGAGGGCATAATTCCCAGGAACTTTCACGATGGGAGTTGGGCATCGCGAGGGAATGAAAATTGTTTTTATGTTTTAATTTTTAAATAAATTAATTAGGTAATTACCACCTTGCCTTTTATTAAATGAGATTAATTCGAACCATTGGATTTTAATGAGGTTGAAGGGTTGAGATTCACTTAGTCATGTGACTAAGTGACCCCCTAGTCACCTGATTTTAGCCCTTGAGTAGATGTGGAAGTCAGCTCTTTATCCTGATGTACGTTATAATTTATCGAGCAATATAATGATGCTAACATTGTTGGATAATTTTCATGTACGTTCTTAGTTGTTAGATTGAGATGGTGATACTTATGTAAATAATATTGAACTTTGCAAATCAATCGATTGAAAATGCATTAGAAGACAATTCAACAATGTCAGTACGTGTTGATTGCTGCTATATGATGATATATATTTGTGGCTATCTTTCTTGTTCAGTGTCATGGTTTATTTTGGCTTTGTTGGTTAAGTGCAGGTGGAGTTGTTATCGGCCTAGATATATTTGGGTGAGGTTGGCAAGACTATTATGGTGAAATTCGTTTTACTTAATATGAACTGGAGTTGTTGTTGTGTTGTGTTGGAGGAGTGGGTGTTGTTTCGCCCATGCCCATGCTTATGCTCGTTTCTCCAAATTCTTGCATAGACAAATTATGTTTGAGCTAACGTTCTATATTTGTGATCTTGGTGGGCTTGTTTGGCAAGGGATTGCGACTGGGCTGATTTGCCCTCGGCTGAAATTCAAAGCTACAATTGTTGAGGAAAAGAAGCTCCGCTTCAAGACTTCTACAAATGGAGAAATGAAGCGAAGTACATCTAAATTCTAAACACAATAGGAGAAATGAGAAATAAATAAATAGGAGAAACAAAAATTTCCCTTTTCCGTTGTATAGATTTTAATTTCATGTCCAAAAACTTGAATGAAATTAGCCCCATACTTTCATAAGTTGCGTGTACGTGTGGCTTCCCAGTCACATAAGAGTAACAGTGCCCCTTCCTCTTTTCCTTTGCTTCATTTACAAATAACCTATGAAAAATGCCTCTACCAACAAAACAAGAAGCAGAAGAAGAAAAAGAAAGCAGATTAATATCAAATGGACTTTTCTTCCTCCGCCCACACCACAAATTTATAAAAGGCATCCATCCATCCATCCTCTCCTTCTCTTCATCTCCTTGTTTGAACCAACCCCTCTTTTCTCATGTGGACAAGTCATAGAAGAAGAACATATCAGCCATGCGAATGGTGCCCAAGCTAGCCAAAACCCCATTGGGAGTATTCCTTTTTTCCCATATAACAGAACTCTCTGCTTATGATGACTCTTCATTCATTCCATCACAAGCTGCATGTGACGGTTAAGGTCGTTGAGGTAGTTGGTACACGTGTAATCTTGCAAGTCACTAGCATCCAATATCACTGCTCTCCCTGAGTTGGTCTTAGATATCATCACCATATCTATTGCTAGGTCTTCCCCGTTTAGAAATTGCACAACCTATACACAGTGGAAAACCCCAGTTTTATCTGTCTGGTTTGGAAGAGTAATTCTGTTAAACAGTCAATTTACCCGACTCATGGACGGTCGCATCTTGGAGACATGGTCAATGCATAGAAAGGCTGTCACCATTGCACGCTTCATCTCGATGGGATCGAAATCATTTCCTAATCTTGGATCCACCAATGTACTCACATCATTATCCTCCAACAATGGTTTTGCCTGGAGAATGCCACAAGATATATGGGGTTGATCATCAAGTAAGAGACGTTGACTCACATGCCACGCTATGGAGACGGCAAGAAACATTACATACCCACATAGCAAGGCTTTGTCTATTGGAGTCAACTGCGTGGCGACCTGTGATGATCTCCAACAATAGTACTCCAAAGGCAAATACATCTGTCTTCTCATCCACCACTCCATGCATGAAGTATTCTGGAGCTAAGTATCTGAGAAACCAAAGTTCCAAGTTATGAACAAATGTTTCTTTCTTTTTTATGTATGAGAGAGTCTTGATTATTCATGGAAATATGCTCTCACCCAAATGTGCCTTCAATTGGGTAGACAATGTGTTGAACCCAATTCTCTGGGAGCCATTTTGCTAATCCAAAATCAGAAATCTGAGCTTCATAATCTTCGCCAAGCAAGATGTTTGAAGCTTTGATATCTCGGTGGATAATACGCCTAGGGCAATCATGGTGAAGATACCTAAGACCTTCTGCAATACCTATAGCAACTTTGTATCTTTTCTCCCAATTTAGAAACTCTCCTGACCCTGGAGAAAGGTTGAAAAGAGTGCCCACCTTATTAGTCTCAATTTAAATATTTGTGGGTATGAAGATGTCGGATAATGAAAAAAAGCTGGAGTAGAAAGAAGCAGGAGGGCACCATGGAGCTTATTTGCAAGGCTTCCATATGGTAGGAACTCTAGGACAAGATGCAAACCACTATCGATGCTGAAACCTATAAGTCTAGCTGCATTTGGATGGTTTATATGTGCAATTATCCCAAGCTCTGATAAGAAATCAGCTATTAGGTCATCATCTTGTTTCTCAGCTTTCATTATCTTCTTCACAGCCACAATTTGACCATCATGTAATTGCCCTCTGTATACTTCTGCATGACCCCCTTTCCCTATCAAGTTCTCTGCTCAAATTTTCAACCCAGAGAATCAGTAAGTTGTTGAAACCCACAGAATGAGAAAATTCCAGTCTAAAGAAGAAAAAACCCGTATTAAAATCATAACCAACTTAACGACATTGAGATATCATCCGGTCAACAAATCACTCTGACATGCATTTAGTAGGTCAAACAAATCTTATCGCAACCATATTAAATTATTAATATCTCTTAAACTTCATCATCTATCTGTAATTAGTCAAACAAATGCAGCTGAGGTCTTTGAATAACTTCCAACAAGTGAGTCATCAACTCTGGAAGATTCAAAACTATTGTAAAGTCAGAAGCTGGCTATGACCACTTTGAACAAACATTGAGAAAAATCTAAACAATTCTCTAACCTGGGCAGAAATCATCGGTAGCAGCAGTGAGCTCGCTAAAATCAAAGTTCCTCCAAGAAGGTTTAGGTACAGGGAACCCATCATAGTCAATGACAACATCGCAGGGGTTCGTAACCCGGGAAAGTTTCTTCTTGATGTTTTTCTTGGTGATAACCTCGTAGGTAGTGATAAATGGAATTACAGAGAACCGCCTCACTGACTTCTTCCTAATGTTTTCGAACATGGATTTCCATTGGTTCCAATCCTTTGAGGGGTCTATTTCTGTGTCTGTGACATCGTCGATCGGCTGGCTCTCCGACCGCGTGCTGCCAGAGCCGGTGGAACTAGTGGTGTGATCAGGATCTGGGTCTGGGTCTGAACCTCCCGAGATAGGAACCTCCAACACACATATTGGTGAAGGGTCTTCCAAGATGAAATTCCCTTGCATTTCTGGGATTTCTTGAGTTTCAGCAACTGCTGTCTCTTCTTCATTTAAACTCAACATGAAAAGTGATCAGAATATATCAAAGGAAAAAGTGAAGAGGAAAAACATAATTAGGCATGCCCGCCATAAGCATATGAAAAGGATAAGGTAACACTCGGAAACCAAACGGTAATATGCTTTCCGAGTAATAATTAAAAAGATTTAAAAGGGATAAACGCAACCCATTTGACCTTATTTATGGATTCAAGGGGAATATAAAAGGTTTTTTTGTCGCTCTTATCCCATAAAAACAACACATCATGCCAAAAGAGCTGTAAAAGATTAACGAGCCAAAAAAACTGATGAAAGCTTCTTGTGGGAATTATATAGAACACATGCTAGACATTTTTTGTTTTTGGGAAGAACAATATCTCAATTCTCAAGACCATAAAAGCAACATATAATGCCAAAAGAGTTGTAAAAGATTAACGATCCAAACATACTGATGAAAGCTTCTTGTGGGACTTATATAAAACACATGTTATGCACTTCTGTTTTTGGGCACAACAATATCTCAATTCTCAAGATCTCTGCCCCCCGTCCCTACTCTTTACCTTACCTCGTTTGCTCTTCTATACCACCAAATAGAAACCCGGAAAAGATTTGGTCAAGTATGCTAATATATCTCACCTTCCCTAGTAGCCATATCTCTTCGAAGAACTCTTTCTGGGTATCTTTGAAAATTTCACAACATATTAGGAAAAACAACAGCTTTCTTCTTCCCCTGTTTTCCTTTTGAACCGTAATCAACTTCTCAATACCCAGTAAAGAGCCACATGATGGAAGATTGAAGCAAAATCCAGAAAAAAGATTAAAGATATGTCAATTGAAGTTTCTCACCCAAGAACAACGGAAGAGGGGCTGAAGCTTGCCTACATCATTGGGTTGGCTCTAAAAGGAAGAAAAGGGGAAATTGGGAGGGAATAAAGAAAAAAAATGAAAAAGAATAAGGGTGGGAAATGGATAATCAACAACAGAAGTGAAGAATTGGATATCTTTATTCGTTGGTTATTCTTGGGAGGAGAAGATGGGGAAATGTCTGTCTGTGTAGGCTGTTCTTGGGATCCTCTTTCATTTTCGTTTATTTTTATTTTGTTCCCTCTCCTTAGGGTGTATTTGAAACTCTACGAAGGGGTAAGAAAAGGAGGGGAAATTGGAATCTAGGAATGTGAAATCGTGGTCGTCGATTTTTAACGCTCCAAAAGTTTTCCGCCACTAGCGCTTTGAAATTGAAAGAGGCAAAAGCGAAAGTGAAAGTAGTACTCGGGTTAATTACTGTAGAGTACCTAACATTTGGTCTTTATAAATTCTAGAACTCTCAAAATTCATATTAACCTACCCGTCAAATGGTACTTGTAGTAGTGGCATTAAGAGATTATTTGCTTTAGTAATTTGGTATCAAATGACTTGTTTATTATCGAACAAGATTATGATTCATTTTGTTCATATAAAATTCCCAGATGACTATGTCTAATTATTTCCAAATATCTCATATCCATGAGTCATTTCCAAAGGATTCCTTATTTAGCTCAAAATTTTCAATTATGTCGACTCTTATTTGTAAACTCACTTCTATCTTTCATTTTTATTATTATTTGTTCCCATGCCATTGCTCTGTATCCCTTTATAATTCCCCCCCAAAAAAATTTGCAGCGACAAAGAGAGCCATACATCCCGTCGTCTCCACCAACCTCTCTTCACTATAGCTTGTCATCTAACTGGAGCTGCTCGCTTCAAGAATGAGTCAAGTCTTCCCAATCATCAGAGTTCTATTCTCCATCATTAGCAACCAACGTACACCAATCATACCAACGTACAAACATTACAAAATAAACCGACAAACATTATGAAAATAACGAAGCTGACAAACACTACAAAAGTGTAAAGCATAATAACCGACAAAGAGTACAAAGCATACTAACCGTACTGAGTACCACTACTTATAATACAAATCGATAAACTTGTGATACAAACCAATAAATACAAAGTATACAAACTATAATTATAAATGATACAAAAATACAAATCAGACTTAGAAACATTACAAAACAGTACGAAAAACATAACAAAACTGCCAGTCACCGAAAAATTCCCTATTTCCGGGAAATTCTTGTCGTCGAGCTTGAAAAGCATCGACGTTGTCTCTCTCTCTCTTTGTGGAAAAACAAATGGGGTCATAGGATGAAAATCCATCCTTTGCCGCTGGTGGTAATGGGACGCTGGAAACCCATCCATTCCTGGTCACGGGTTATAAGATGAAAATCCATCCCTGGCCGTCGGTGGCAATGGGACGTCGGAAACCTAGTAAGGAAAATAAAGAAAATACCAAAAATCTAGTAGGGGAAACCCGCGAGTGTGTTTTTTAAAATTATTTAATAATTAAAAATTAAAAAAGTCTACAAACACCGTATTACCCTTCATTAAATAAAATAATCTGCAACCATTATATTTAAATGATATTGAAGCGCTGCGATTTACTTAGTCATGCGGCTAAGGGACCCCTTAGTCACATGATCTTACCCCCAAAATATCCCTCTACAACAAATTGAATATTGGATCGTATGGTCCAAAATTTCACCATGGAGATTTGGATACGTCACATTTGGAGGAAAGAAGTAAATGAAGAAACAAAGTAGAAGGAAGTTGGAAGGCCGGAGTAGGTCAACTAATCCAGTTTGAAGTTACGACTTTGTGTTGTGAGAGAAGAACCCAAACAGACGAAGCAAAACAAAAACACTACCGAATGAATGAATTTTATTTTCATTATGTTTGATAAAGAACATAAATACTGATGGAGTTCGATTATTTCGTCGCACCAGTTCCACTAAAGTAGTACTAACTAAACCCCAGCCCTTTTTTTCCCTCTCCTTTTGGGACATTACCGGGGATTCGGTGGTTGAAGATGTTTGCTCCTTTAGAACGGAGCGAATGTTGCAAAGTTTTAACCATACCTGGCTTACTTTAATTTCCAAAGTGGATAATATGGAAAATATGCGCCAACTGAGGCCCATAAGTCTATGTCAGTTCGTCTATAAGATCATTGCTAAAATTATGTCTGCATGTTTGGCGCAATTCCTCCCCCCAAATCATTTCGCTTGGGTATAATGCATTCATTCGAGAAAGGCAGATTGTGGATAATGTCTTGATAGGACACAAACTGATGCATTACCTAAAAATTAAAACCAAGGGTAAGAAGGGTTATATGGCTCTAAAGGTTAATATGGAGAAGACCTATGATAGAGTTGAGTGGCCTTTCTTACTAGCGATTTCAGGAAAAATGGGTTTTGATCCAAGGTGGATTCAGGAGTGCTTGGCTTCCTCGTCCTTATCAGTCCTCATGAATGTAAGGATGGCAAAAATATCCCGTAATCGTGGATATCCACCCAAATCCGACCTAATCGGGTAGGGTAAAACCCAAACCCGAAGAACTTTTAGTGGGTATGGGTAAAACCCGAACCCGAATATTGCGGGTAATGGGTGGACATGGTTTTCTCACTATCCAACCCGAACCCGCCCGATTATACATATGCATATGTATTTTGTCTAGAAAAAATCAATATTTTTCTCTAACATATTTTATATTTAGCATATAAATATAATATTTTTATGAAATTGTGTTATTTTAATTAGTTTTCTTCATTCTAGTGAATTAGTGTCGTACTTTTCTTCTTACGTAACGTAAGAATACTCGTGAATATAAACATATTGGTTGGAGTTATAAAGAGAAACCATTACCCATGGATAACCGTGGATGCCTGAAACCCGAACGGGTATGGGTATGGGTAAAACCCGAACTTCATTGGGTAGGGTAACGGATATGCACTATCCGTCCCCGACCCGACCCATTGCTATCCCTACATGAATGGTACCCCGTCTGGTTTCTTCCAACCTTCACGGGGACTAAGGCATGGCGACCCACTGTCCCCCCTTATGTTTGTTATTTGTCATCCATAAAACCATTACTAAGAAGAAACTAGCAGGAGTCAAGGTGACAACCAGGTCTCCGCATGTTTCTCACCTTTTTTCCGGATGACTCATATTTATTCCTCAGAGGATCAGTTTATGAATATGAGAATTTGAAAGAGGTCCTCAATGAGTATGAGGATTTAAGTGGCCTGAGGGTCAACCTTGCCAAATATGCAGTCTGCTTTAGTAAGAATATTTTGCAACCAGATCAAGACATTCTCGCTCAGATTATGGGGGTAGGGGCGATGGGGGTTCATGATAAATATTTGTGCCTTCCAACTCTTATCTCCCAATCTAAAGTTCCGATATCTAGAAGAGAAATTGCTCAACGACTACACGGATGGAAACATAGGACTTTATCATGGGCAACAAAGGAGACTTTGATTAAATCGGTTGCGTCATCACTTCCATTTCATGTGATGTCCTGTTTCAAACTCCCACCATTCCTTTGTCGTCTCCTAGACAAACATGTAGCGAGGTTTTGGTGGGTGTTAAGGGGGGCAGAAATGCATCTACTGGATGTCATGGCGAAATATGTGTCGTAACAAGCATGATGGGGGATGGTTTTTCAATGGTTTGAATACTTTAATCAGGCCATTTTGGCCAAAATTGGGTGGAGAATCCTGAACAAACCTCACTCCCTCCTGACCCAGGTCTATAAAGGAAATTATTTCCCAACTCGGTCTTTTCTCATAGCAACGACGGTTTCTCGGCCCTCATGGGGTTGTCAAAATATCCTTTATGGTCGTCTCTTGATTCAGAAGGGATTGCGATAGCAGATTGGAAACGGGCGGACTGCGTCCCTTCAGAATTCTAGCTATTGTTACCCTCAGGTGATTCCGAAGGACAATGACCCACCAGTTGTAGATCTTTCATGGTTAGGGGAAGGAAGATGGAATGTAGAAATACTCAATCACTTATTCCTGCTATAGGTAGTGAGTGCAATCATCTTAATTCTACTACCTCATTAGGATGTTTTGGATTCTCTACTCTGGCATGAGACGAGTGATGAAGTATTTACCGTTAAGTATTCTTATCACCTAGCGGTGAGGATTAATCATGGACAAGGCAGATGGTGCTAGACTGTTGGTTGGATGGATTGATCAAGATGGATTCATATTGGGGGCTCTCTATTCCTCCGAAGCTTAAGATCTTTATCTGGAAAATACTCAATCACATTCTCCCAACCACGAAAGCTCTGATCGAGAAGGAGGTCCAAGTATAACCCCGATATTCGGTTTACTTGGCTGACACGAAGACTATGGAGCATCTATTTCTCGAGTGTCCAGTGGCAAGGGCAATATGAGATCACGTTGGCGTAGAACATCTAGGTCAAGGGCTACCTCGCACAAATTTTCCCCTCTTTCTAAAAACGTTGATGTTACTACTTAGTCAATCCCATCCAAGTATGACTATTTATTAGCCAACCCTTTTTCGGATTCTTTTTTATTAGCCAAACCTATTGGAATATTAAGAATTAGCCAAATGTTAACTTTTAGTTAGCAATTTTGTTAGTAATATTGACTTGGCAACATGATACTGACTAGGTAGAGACACATGAAGGTCAACATTCCAAAATTTTAGTATTTTAACTAAGAAAAGAGTTACAAAAATATTAACAATAACGTAAAAAATGGTTAATATGTTGATGCATTATGAAAAATTTGGCTAATTAATAGCATTTTAATAGGTTTGAATAATATAATAGAATATGAAAAAGGTTTGGATAAAAAAAAATAGACATTACCCTTATTTCTTTGATGAGGCAGTATCATCAACAAGTTCAGGAATGGATGGGTTTACCAACTGACTTCATTTCCATCATCCCAGATTGAGAGTGACAATGTTTCAACTTCTGTCTTGGCCATCTACATGTGGGATAGTGCAACAAGGAAGGGATCACACTCAGCGGGGGGAATAATTATCAAAGGTCAGAGTGGCTCGATAGTCTTGACTCTGGGCATACATATTGATTATATTTATGATCCACCTACGGAAGAACTTTTAGTGCTCCACGAGGCTATCCAGTGGTGTCAAAATTTTGGTCTCAAAGGTTCGGTATGAAGGAGACACAAAGGTGGTCGTCGATAAGATACTAAATGGTTAAAGGTCGTCCTAAAATTACTAAAAAATGTCCTAAATTCAATAATCAAATTAAGCTATAGCCCTTTCAATTTTAAATCCAAAACATCAATCAAACATATGATCCGACGAACTCCCGGCCACCGTCATCCCATTTGTGCTATCGTCGTCGCAATCCCGATGCCAGTCCTCTGATATATTTGCCGGCCTCTCCCGCACTCTTGACGTCCTATCCAGGCCACCGCAGAAAGAGGTGACCAAGAAGAAGGGCGGTCCTATCCAGGCCGCTGTCAGCCAACCTTGCCCCCGCCAACTTCCTATAAGATAAACCAGTTCGATGCACAAGATAATCGATTTGGAGAAAGCCATTCGTGAGGAAGTTCGTGGCTTGCTGGCAAATTATAATGGTTTAAATGTACGATTTGTAGGTCGGAATAGAAATCGGGTAGCCCATTTGGTGGCTAGAAAGACCCTTTCTTTATATCAAACTACATGTCGCTTTTTTTTATTTCTTTTCCTAGTTGTATACCAAGGTATAATTTATTCGATCTCTTATCAATCAATACAAGATAATCTTTTGTTAAAAAAAACCCTCGCTCTTTAATTTCCCGCCAACCTCACACCAATCTGGCAATCTTCTTCTTGTATCATCACCAATCACTATCTCCCTCTCCCTCCCTACGATCAAATGCATTTGTTTTTAACTGATTTGCATTCTGTTGACGTCCGCATGTCTTGCATACTTGCATCTAAACTAATCATAACTAACTAACTAAAACCATCACATATGCTTTGACTATTTTCATATAATATTGAGTTTTCTCGATCTACGAACACCATATTTCAATTTAGAGGTTGTTGGGAGAATATGAGTTTAAATCTATAGAGTGTCAATAATCTAAAGATTTTAACTTTTCGGATTGTTGAAAATAAAATTTAAAATGTTTATTGTTTGATAACTGTGATTATTAACATTCAATGAAAATAAAAATAAAAATTTTATATTAAATAATATCTATCCTTAATAAAAAATTAGAGTGGTTCGAGAAAAAAATTAAAAACTTTGTTGATAAATATATTTAGTATGATAAATAAATAAAAAACAGAAAAAGTAGGAGAAAAACATAACACGAATCAAGATATAATATCTCTATGATTATGAGAGATTTGATATCCGTAGATTTTAGAGATTTGAAATCTCTAAAGCTAAAATTCACAATACAAAAAGCAACAAAAAAACCTAAATTTTTACAAAATTTAAGGATTCAATGAATCTGACCCTAAATTCAGTTCTCCAAATGACCCCTTAGGCTTTCAGCTATAGGCGGCATACTATATGGGATACTTCGGGTAAATGCGTATATATGTGCTTAACCGACAATTTACAATAATTGAATGCATTGGTACTAATTTTTCTATATTGGTTTTAGTTAGGCGCTCATAGAAGGTATATATGGTGTTTGAGTTAGCACAAGATGGAAGCGACTGGAAGACGTAGAAAAAGAGAGATACATAATAGAGAAGAGTTTAGGGGTGATTTGCTTGTTGGATTTGGGTCATGGATTTGGTACCCAAATCCCAAGCTTGATGGATTTAACATAAGTCTATTGTTTGTTGAAGGGTGCTAAATCTGTGGGGTCCACGGATTTGGTCTTTATTTTGGAACCAAATCCGTGGACCCCACGGACTTGTAAATCCCATATATTGATTTGGGATTGACAAATCCTTGATGGTTAGTTATTTATTTAACAAATCCATCACAAATCCATCATCAAATCTATCATGCAAACATTAGACTCTTCAAATCCATAATCCAATAAATCCAACATAAATCCCAAGATTTTTGTTGACCAAAACCCTCATTTTTCAAATCCAACAAGCAAACAACCCCTAAGTTTTAAAAAGATTACCTTCTCTAATGAAATTAATTCAAATATCATTAATATAAATCCAATAAATAGACATTGCATTTTTAGAAGTTTAGAATGTTCACTTTGCTATTAGTCGACAAGGTGAGTAGGTGACCATCAATATGAGGTCTACACCGTAATCTGTCCCATCAATATCAGGTTTTACTAGCGGCAAGTGAATTTGAGCCATATATCAATTGCCATTAACTTGTTAAAATAAATAAATAAAGCAGGGGCAGATATGCTAACTAAGCGCCTGTAGCTCAGTGGATAGAGCGTCTGTTTCCTAAGCAGAAGGTCGAAGGTTCGACCCCTTCCTGGCGCGATACATTTGAACAAATTTTTCTGTGATAATTTTTATACTGATATTTTTGTTACTGATATTTTTGTTATTGATTTTTTTAAGGATTAATATATTTGTATGATCTGATTTTTTCACATATTAAACATTGTGGCAATCTTTTTGATCTATAGTTTCGTGGCCTTAACTATCCATCAAAGTTATGAAATTGGCCAAATTCGAGATTCGATTTATAGCTTCGTGGTCTTAACTATCCATCAAAGTTATGAAATTGGCCAAATCCGAAATTTGATATATAGTTTCGTGGCCTTAACTATCTATCAAAATTATGAAATTGGTCAAAACCTTCTTGACGCGAGATTTTTATACTGATATTTTTGTTATTGATTTTTTAAGGATTAATATATTTGTATGACCTGATCTTTTCACATATTAAACATTGTGGCAATTTTTTCGATCTATAGTTTCGTGGCCTTAACTATCCATCAAAGTTATGAAATTGGTCAAATTCGAGATTCGATCTAGAGCTTTTTGTGGCCTTAACTATCCATGTCACTGTCAAGTCAGAACATACCACTTCAATTTTTTGAATTGGTAACTTAAAATCTATAGCCTCGTGGCCTTAACTATCTATCAAAATTATGAAATTGGTCAAACCTTTCCTGGCGTGAGATTTTTATACTAATATTTTTGTTGTTGATTTTTTTTAAGGGTTACTATATTTGTATGTCCTGATCTTTTCACATATTAAACATTCTGACAATCTTTTCGATCTATAGTTTCGTGGCCTTAACTCTGCATCAAAGTTATGAAATTGGCTAAACCCGAGATTTGACTGTTATCTTGGACGGTCAACGCGCCACGTCACTATCAAGGCAACACATACCACTTAATTTTTTTATTATTTTTTTCAATTTCTTTTCATTCTTTTCCTTCTTTTGTTCAAAATTAAAAAGATAAATGGTTAGTCAACGTGTCACGTCACTAGCAAGTTAGCACATACCACTTAAATTGTTTCACTTTTTTTTAATTTCTTTTCACTTTTTTTTCTTCTTTTATTCAAAATAAAAAAGATAAATGTAATAGGTGAAAAAATCAAGAATTTTAAGTGGTATGTACTGATTTGGTAGTGATATGAAGAGTTAACCGTTAGTCAACGCTAGGGCTGGGCATGCGGGCGGATCATCCGCGGGTTTGGGCCGACTCACCCGCATTTGACCCGAATTTCGTTAAGTGGGTGGGTCTATGGGTGGGTGACGGATTGCATTGGGTGCCATCCGCCGGGTGGTGGGTGGGTGCGCGGGTGACCCGCTCAACCCAACAGCAAAAAGATCAAAGTCGTCGGCGCTAGAGAGGAGAGAGTGGAGACGTTAGACATAAACTAGGACTGCTCCTGGAGTTTGAACCTCAAAGCCAACCTTCCAAATAGCGATCCCTTCTTCTTCCCTTTATTTTTTCCTCTAATTCTTGTGCCTAGATCACTGCTCTTTCCTTTGTGGAATTATTTTTCTTAGTTCCTTGCACCTGATAATCATCTCAATCTGTAGAAAACTCTTTCATAATAGAATTTCTATCCATTTTAAGAACTAATTCGACATTTTTCGCCCTATTTCATCTTCTTGTTTCCACAAACAACTCTCTTCGCCTATTATTATGTCAAGTTAACTCTTTTATATTATATACATTGTGATGTGGGTGAACCCACAAACCCACCCAAATCATCCACCATCCGCCCGACCCAACCCGCGACTAAATGTGGGTGGGTGATGGGTTAAAAATTATCAATCCGTTTAAGCGCGGGTGGGTGCATTTTACGGTCAAAATCCACCCGATCCACCCAACGCCCACCCCTAGTCAACGCGTTAGAACATCTAAGATAAATGTCAAATCTCATGTTTGGCTAATTTCGTAACTTTGATGTATAATTAAGATCACAAAGTTATAGATCGTAAGAATTTGACCAATGTGAAAATTTCATACATACAAATATTTTAACCTTTCTTTAAACCTTTGAAAACTCTTTTTCCCAATTCTACTGCGATTCCAAAATTATGTTACCATTCCAGCGAACTCGGGCAAAATCCCTAACTCAATTCCCTCCTTAACTCTCCGACCAAGCCCACCGGACTCAACAGCCAGCCATGTCCATCCTCGGCGACGACGGTCGTGGCTTCGAGCTCGCCACCAAGCTGGAGTCCCTCGGGGTATGGCGGACGTGGTTCGGCGACCCTCTCTACTCCACCTTCGTTCATTTCCTTTCTTCTCCTTCCTCCTGGGAATCCTTCATGCGGACCGACGAGCTCAAGTCCAAAGCTCAGATCCAACTCCAGCTCCGCGCCCGTGCTCTTCTCTTCGATAAAGCTAGCGTCACCCTCTTTCTTCACTCCACCATCAACCCTTCCCCTGCCGCCACTTCCGCAGCGGTCTCCAAGCTTAATCCGACTTGTGAGATTTCAATTCACCTTCCGCTTTCGGCTTCACTGTACTCCTTCCGTGGTGCAAGTTGAATTGTTTACCAATTTCTTCGAATTTTTTCTTAGACTTGCAGTTGCATGGCGACGATGTCTACTACACTCTAGAGGATGTGGATCAGCGGCGAGATGGTAGCGGCGCTGTTGGGCCTGTTATGGCGTCATCCAGGGTACGTGAAGAACTATTACTCCGGCATGAATTGTAGTTTTAAGTTACAAATACTAGGAAACTTTGTAGCAGCTGTGACGGAGATTTTAAATTTTCTGAAGTGAACTTGAGACTAGTGAACTAGGTTCACACCTTTAGTTAATGGCTGAAATCTTGAGTTCGCTGCAGGTCTGTTTGAGGGGAATGATGAAATAGAAATGATGATTCTTGTAGACCTTGCTATCGGCACCATCTGCTAGGGTCTGGGATCTCATTACTGACTTCACAATAAGACGGTTATAAGTTTTGATATTTAGAGATTTTAAGCAAGGGAAGAATGTCAGACTCTTTAAGTTATTGTATTAGTTAGCAAAAAGTTTCGAACTTTGTGTACCTTCTGTGAATTCCATCGAGCTAATGCTTATGTAACTTGAGAATTGTTAATCTCTGCAACATTTCTCTGTAAGAACCAATCATTTTGTTTCTGTAACTCAAATCTTTAGCTAAGCTTATTCTTTTGATTGATCTGCAGAGTCATTCTAAATCTTCTGTTACTACCGGATTAAGATACGGTGATCTTGACATGGATAATGTCTCACAGAGGTTCAGAAACGATGAGTTGCCAGAAACTTGGTATAGCCAGTTTATAGAAAAGCATAAAACTAACAGGTTATTTAAGATCCCGTTTGGGGATAGAGAGCCAGAAAAACGTTCTCCTGAAGACATGTCTAATTATCTTAAGCTTCGGGATAAGCATAAAAGAAGCCGTGTTATGTTTAAGCAGGGCCAGTACTCGGGGCTTGGAAATTCTGTATTGGAAAGCACATCAAGCATGCATCCCGACTCTCGTTTAGATGGCCGAAGCTCAGTAGATGATGATGTTTCCTTCTTTCCTGAAGTAATGTTTATGTCGAATTGTGTGCCTGATAGTGCACTCCCTCCAATAGTTAGAGTGCAAGACAATAACAAGATTGAGTTCCGTGGGGTTCTTGACTCATTGCCGCAGACCAGGAATGCTGTAATGATTGAGAGACTCGGTATTAGTGTTGAACAGGGAGGAAGCTCACATCGTAGGAAAAATGGTTCTGACGGGAATAGGAAAATGCTTAGTCAAGACCAAGCACAGCAGATTTCTTCAAAGGTTGTTGCCCGCATGTTGGCCAGAGTGGGATTTGATGGTGCAATGGAAGTTCCAGTGGACGTCTTGTCTCAACTGCTTGGGTGTCATATGAGTAAACTAGGCCACACTTTGAAAGTTCTTGCTGATAGTTATAGGAAACAGTGTTCAGCAGTTGAGCTACTAAAGATGTTTCTTCAAACTTTGGGTCACAGGTGGGCACATGAGTTAGAATTCCTCTTTCTCTTTCCTGTCCTGCTATTTTTTTGGCTAGGTGCAATTATTGCTCGAAAACTGCTTCTAGGTGTATTTGTGGCAATCTCTATTGGTAGAAAATGAAGAGCACTACAGATGTTGTTAATGTTTCTGTTCTTGAGCTTGTCTTCACGTGGAGTCTGTGTTTTGCCTTTTCCTGGACTTTTCTGTTTGATATTCTTATTTTGCATTTGGTGCCATGAAATTCTGTTGCTGGTCTCATGTGCTTTCTTGTCTCTTCTTAGTAACCTTGGACCTTTGATGGAGCTCATCAAGGATGGCAGTAGGAATGTCACCCAGCAAACTCAGCCGCAAGTACATGGAATGCAGCCACAGATGCAGGCCCAGCACCAAAATCCTCATCGATTGCCTCAACAAGTATGCAATTACCATTTTCTTTGGTTCGAAACCATTTTACCTTCTCATGACTCAGTGTTAGCATGGGTTCAGTACTTGATATTTGGTTCAGAGTCATTTCTCAGCACCCCAACCACGTGATCTCAATTTCCTGACACTTAAACGAACAAGGGCTTGCTCTAGTGGTAATACCACTAGCCTGGAACTTGGAGGTCCCAGATTTGAATCCCTCAAGTAGTACCTAAACAACCAAAAGTAAACCTGTATCACCCTTATCCAAAAAAAAAAAAAAAAAGCCTGACACTTAAACGAAGGTGGCTATCAAAGAATGTTGTGGTTTCTGCATAGAAAATCTAATACTGACTGGTCAGTGATTCAGCAATGACCATGTGGTTTCTACCAGTTCAAAGTTGTCTTTGGAGAAATGCGTTCCAAATCTGGATATTCAAGATATTTGAAATGAGATCCTTCAAGGCTGTGAGCTATATGATAGCATGAAACTTGTCATTGGCTTTCCATCCTGTGCAAGATATGGTGAAAACTGAGAGAACTCTTATTTGTACCTAGGACCTTTTTCCAGTTTTGAGTTGTGGAGATGCTTGTTATCTAGTCTGTGAAGTGTGTTGGCATCAAACCTTGGACCCTTTTCTACTTTTGTCATAACTGACAGTTGACTCCAATTTTTTTGTGTTTGAAGTTACAGATGTTAAGACAAGCACACCCACAGATGCAACAAATGATGCATCCTCAAGGTTTGACTTTCCAGCAACAGCAACAGTTGGAGAGGATGCGTAGGCGCCAACAACAATCTGCTCCTCGCCCCACTATGGATATGGTGGAGAAGGAGAGACCCCCCATGGCGCAAGTCAAGATTGAGAGCGCACCAGATTTGCCATTGGATAATAATATCAATGCGTTCAATAATACTGCCATGCATGCCAGACATCATCCGCAGATGCAGCAGCTCCGACAGCAGCAACTGGCTGCAATGTCGAATCTCCATGCTCAGACTGGCAGCAATCAGCTCAGGCAGTTCACGTCGTTGCAAGTTCCTCAGATACAATCACCACCGTAAGTAACATCTTGGGTTTATTCTGTTTTGGCTTTTGCTCAAAATAAGTGGCTTCTTTTTTCCATAAAATTATAAGTAGAAGAAGGAAGAAGTGTACGGTCAAAGGTTTTAGAAAGAGTAGCAGTTGCTAGCTTGATTGATGCAAATGCGAGGTACTTATAGTAATGGAAAATATATTCATGTTTTGATAACTAAGTTTGTTGAATAATAAAGAAACGAGTGACTTTTGAGATATCACTATTGTCAGTTTAACTTATTTCGAAGGGTAAAATTGGATTTGAAGTGGTAGTAGTGAGGTTGTCTTCTATATTTTAGTAACTTGGATGGTTGAAAGTGAACAGTTGTTTCCAAAGTTAGCTGACAAAACACAAGTGTGTTTGTTGTAGCTTTTAAGTTCACTGATATGTTTCAACTTTCAACCAAAACCAAAGCATCCCTTGCCACATTTGGAAGGGTTCATTTCTCCCTTTGTGTTCTGTGACTTGTACATATGAAACGTGTTTGTGGTGTCAGGAACATGGGAATTGTTAGGGCTCCTCCGGTGAAGGTGGAAGGTTTCCAGGAGTTGATGGGAGGCGATGGCACATCAAAACATGACTCAGAAGATGGCAACAAGCTAACTTCTCCTTCCAAGTGAATCTAGCTTACTCTCGGCCGGGCATGTAGTTAAATTGTAAAAGCATTGTACACTTGCTGCGCAGCCTATCTTTCTACCTCGCCACTGGTATTGGAGTTCAGCTAATAGCCGAGTCGTACTTCAGTGTTGTATGGGAAGTAATTCCATCAGATTTTGGTTTCTGCACATTAGTCCTGGCGTTATGGTACATGATTTAGTATTGTTGAAGCTAAGTTGCCATGGATAAATGGCTGCTGTGTATAGGATAACTTCTTTGCAAACGGTTTATTTGCAGAGCTGATGATGATCACAGTTGAGGGAGAGTTGTTTTAGTAATGCGTCAAATGCAACTTCGGAACTATCCAATCACAGCTAGCTTAGCTTCTTTTGTCGTCAATCAAATTTTCTATGGTAAGTTGGTCACTTTATGACCGTCCACATCATCATATTCGACTGCTGACATATAGTATATTTAAGTAGGTGTAAGACTAACTTTTTTTTTTTTTTTTTTTTATGGTTAATGAGACTAACGCTTTTTTATTTTATTCCTTCCAATAAATCATATACTCATTTGTATTCTAATTTTAAATTTTCTCTTTACTTTTTTCCATAATTTGTTACTATTTTTTTAACAATTTTGATTTAATTATGAAAATTGGTTGTTAATTTATTATCATTACTTCGAGACCACTAATTTTATGATTGTCATTAGTTGTTAATTTTTGTTACTGTCTATTATATCTCTTCTGTGGCATCCCAACAATGGCTTCCAAAATAGCTTTGACATATTTTTGTTTTCCTCATTCTCTCGAGAAATTATTTTAAAGTGGTTTGTATCTTGAGAAATCATTTGAAAGTGGTCGGGACGGATGAATAAAAAAAATTGGTAGCTTCATATCGATCTAAGATATCCAGTTATGAGAAAAAAAATTCCTCTAGGAAAACATCATGACAGTCATGGATTGCCATGATCCCTGAGGATTAATTTTATTCTTTCTGTGTAATTGCTTTCATTTCCTTTCTCTTCTCTCACTGCTTATTAGATGAAGATATGCTTTCAGAGGTTAAAATAGAGTAGTTTCTTCTCGGACGCCAAATTTCCTATGTTGGTTTGCATGGGTACTGAATGAGCATCTTTATCTTATTGATGAGTGAAGTTGTAACCATATATTCTTTTCTTCAATGATTTATTTTGAAGAAATAGCTCTAATTTATTCAGATCCTGGATTATATTTTATATTGCTAGAGGAGTTCCTAGAGGCCTTGCAGTAAGTTTAGTAACCAAAGTGGCTATTTTTGCCGCTCTAAATTCTGTAGAGTAGTTTGTCGATCATGAAAAATAGTATCAAACCTTTTCTAAACGTGTTATGTCTTTTGTGGGAGCCGTATGTAGAGGTGTCAATCGGGCGGGTTCGGGCTGGGTGCATTCGGGTTGCGGGTTGGTCAGGTTGCGGGTCGATCGGGTTGCGGGTTCATCGGGTTCGGGTTGATCGGGTTGCGGGTTACGGGTCATTCGGGTTGCGGGTCAATAGGGTTACGGGTCAATCGGGTTACGGGTCAATCGGGTTGCGGGCCAATTGGGTTATGGGTCAATCAGGTGCGGATCAATAGGGTTGCGGGTTTTACGGACCAGCACATCGCGTTACTTTTTAGTGATACTAGTAAGTCGTAAATCGTAACTACATGAAGCTAGCACAATACTTGTAAAAAAAAAGGAATCACTACTCAAAGTCAAAGACTCATAGGTGGGGGGAAACAAAATTTTGGGGAAACATTACAGGGGGAAATTATTGGCGGGTCTCGGCGGGTGGGGGAATCAAATTTTTTTATGGGAATTTTTTTTTATGGGAAAGGGGGGAATCAAATTTTTGGGTAGCATTATTGGGGGAACCCAAAATTCGGATTAGTCGGGTTGCGGGTTGGTCAGGTTTGCGGGTTGATCGGGTAGCGGGTTGGTCGGGTTGCGGGTCGGGCAGGTTACAGGTCATTGATTTTTAGTCAAATCGGGTTACGGGTCAGGTTGATCGGACGTGTTAATCGGGTCGGGTTACATTTTGACTGCTCTATCCGTATGCAGCCCCTGTTATTAAAATAGAGGCCGGCCACCAAATCTTGTTGTTAGCGACGGATTCAGGGCAAGACCCAGCCATTTTCATGGTAGAGAACTTGAATATGGTGTACTTTCAGGCCCGCTTAAGTCTCACCTTTTTATGGGCCCGACCCTCTTTGTCTCCACACCCAAACCCAATTCAAAATTTTCCATTTTCCTCTTTGCGCTGCTGCCAAAAAATCAAAAGGCCATTCCCTTTTTCCGCCAGTCCCTCGTTGCTGCTTCCCTTCATAATAGAAGACCTACCAGCAGGCAGCAACCCAACAGTAGCAGGCAACAGGCCCTCCCAACCTCCAATTTGACATGGTGCGGCGGAGGGAAATGTAGTTACTGCTTACGTTTTGATCGGGCCTAATTTGGTTCAATTTACTGGTTACTATTAGTGATTAGAGTGGACATTGTGTTTTTGGCCGACAAAATCTATTTTAGGGTTGGAGATGTCGATTTGTTTTTCTTTTACTAGTTAGCTCGTTTATGGTTATTAAGTTTTTTGGATGAAGAATTAGAGGTCCGACTTTTCTCATATATCGTCCTTTGCAACATTTGTATTCAATTCTATTTATAAACTAATCTTTGATTGCATTGTGTATGTAATTGAATAAGTAGATTTGAAGAAACTTTACCATGACATCTTCTTAGCTGCCAAATAAAAGGCGAAAACAGTATTGTTTTCTTACTATCAACATACGGAATTTGAATCATGCCAGACCGAAGAATTCCCTCCTAATGAAGGTCAACCATCTTTCTCTCCAGTTCAAAACCAATCATCTACTTCTCCTCTATCCGGTAATCTACATTCATCAACTGACAATGGAATTGATGTTGAAAGGGATCCAGGAAAGTGGAAACAAATATGAAGAGAACTTTTTCAGCAATGAAGCATGTGAAGACTGATTTGCACAACAAAATGGACGATGAATTTCTAGCTGATTGCTTAACAATTTTCTTTGAGGGAGTGTATGTTATTGGTATGGATGAAGACTCCATTATTGATGAATTTGCTAAATTAAAAGACCTTTGTATACAATTGACATTGTAATGAAAACTAGTTATTATATATTTCTGTTTATGGTATCTAATTTTCTATTCAAATGCGACCCAGTGCTTTACTAAATCCTGGATCTGCCGCTACTTGGTGGTATGATATTGGTTTTATTATTCAAATTTGGATTATGCACATAAGGTGCATTGATAAATAAAATCTCTAGATTATGCATATAAGGTATTCAAGTTTTTGAACGAGTTCATCGTGATTTATTTGATCTATAAATTTTTGAAAAAATATAGAACTAAAATGTATCACTGCATAGCACCTTGATATAAGGGTGGTAACTGGTGGTAAACAATGATTAATATTAGTAATGACATTTCGTATGTACTCAACCATTATACACTGTGATATGTTCATACCACCATGATACACTTTCATACCACGTGGTATGATTTTACGTTGTACCAACCATTACCATCATGGTATAGACTAGTAAAAAATATCTCATTTTTTCGTTCCAAAATATATTAAAGTGGATATCATTTTGAAGACTATAATTAATCTGATTTATTTATGAAAAATTAAATTATGACTTAAAATGAAAGAGATATAGACGGTTAAACTTTATAGAGAAAAAAGCGAAACACTTTCCATAAAAATGATGATTTGACAATAACATAACAGATTATGCATGGTTTCACTGTGTTAAGATGGTGCCGTTAAAGTCACCCACCATATACACACCAAAAGTTAATATTATAATCTTTTCTCTCTCTCTTTTAGCGAGAGTTTAGCCTTAGAAACCTTTTTGGGATTTTCTTTGAGTTTTCTCGATCTTTATCTGTTATTCCAAAGGGTGAAGGTTTCCCTTTCCGTCTGCGGTTTGATTTAGGAGGGATCGCAAGCTATATAGACTCATCATCATAGTTTTCGAAGGAACCAGACTGGCGCTTTAGCATCTGAGTGAAGCGATTTTTTAGCCAATCAGAAATCCTAATTTAGCCTCAAGAGTTTTAGGTTTTCGTGAGAGAGAGTTTCCTGCGATTGGGGTTTTCCTAATCAAGGGGTCTCATTTTTCAAAGTCTTTCATTTTCTCTTTGCCATTAGAGAAACACAAGAATACCTAGCCTGCCTCCTGCGGCTGCGGCTAGGTTAAGGGAGCGATCTTGGTTTTTACAACAGACTCTTTCAAAGTTTTTTCTCTGCAGATTCCTGTTTGCATTTTTTGTGCACCATAAGATAACTATGGCGTACAAAGGAATAGATGACCTACATCTAAACAAAGAAAAAGAGAGTTTGCTTGCTACAACAACTTTAGAGATGGAAAAGAAAGACACAGAAGAGCGGACTGAATTGGCGGTTGGAACTACTAAACAACTCACAACTCCGGAGAGATTAGCATCATAGATCTAGGAAGTGACAATCAATGATGATGACCCGCTGAAAATTGAAGAAACAGACTAGGATACAGTCTTAGCCCGAGCAGTTGGCTTGCTTGGCCTAGTTGGTCGGCTAATAGCTAAAAAGAAACCAAATCTCAAGTCAATGAAGATTGCACTCAACAAAGCTTGGAATCTGAAACAAAATTTCCAAATAAAATATTTGGAAGATCAGATGTACGCCTTCCAGTTCTTGGAACGTAGTGATTGGGATAAGGTGATTTTCGGGAGTCTTAGGCATCATGATAACAATCTGCTGATTTTCAAGACCGCAGACCCTTTCCGGAAACCAAAAAAGAAGATTTCTATATAATGGACATATGGATCCGAATCTACCACCTACCAGCAGCCTTAAGAACACAGGAAATGGCACACAAGATTGGAAATCGGTTTGGCAAGCTAGTCTGGGTGGATAGTCGAAGTGCTTGCATATGGGATGATTTTCTACGACTAAGGATTGAGAAGGATATTCGAACACCGAGAAAACCAGAGCTTAAGATCAAAGTTCAAGATGATATAGCAACTTTTGAGGTGAAGTATGAGATAATGAGAAGATATTGTTGTTCTGCCACAACTGTGGCCTAGCGGGGCACTCCAAGGGAGTCTGCTGCAACCTTACTTTAGCAGACAGTGACAAATACAGTCACGAAACAAGAGTAGGCCCCCTGCAAAACAAACCATGGCGAAAAAATTTAAAAATGGAGGAGCAAGGTGAAATTTGGACTACTCTACCAGCCAAATTTGCTTGAGCGTAAGATAGAGGAAGCAAGGCAAGTAGAGAAAAGGGAAATGGTAGATCCCCTAAGCCTTTTTGACTTGGATGCACTAAAGAGGAAAGAATAATTCAAAAGTTTCAAAGACATGAACCAAGAAGGTAAAAGGAAATAAATTTCTGTCTGTGAAGTACATGAAAACACCATGGAA